CCAGCCTCCCAGTTGATCCAGTCCCCCTTACACATGCGCCTTGCATTGCGGCAAGTGCAGTGTGTCTCTGTATGTGTGTGCGTGACATGCGTGCCTTCCATGGCATGCCCAACACCTTTGGACACCCACCAGGTCACCTGCTGTGCAGCAGAGAAATCTGGCTTTGGCAAAAGGAAAAAAAGCCGTTTGAAATTAGCCCTCTCTGCCGCTCTGCTAAAAAGGTCAGAACCAAGGCCAAGAGATAACAGGATGACTAACCATATTCGGTTAATCCCCAGAGTGGGAAGAGGCTGAATTGGGAACTCTGTAAATTGGCTTGTAGGACACAGAATGCCGTGATCATAGGATTTATTGAGCACCGGTTTTAGTTCATAGAATATATCTACAAATATAATTGGAAGAGATGTGTGTGTGCGTGAGAGAGAGAGGGGGGGGAGAAAGAGAGAAAGAAAGAAAGGAAGGAAGGAAGAAAGAAAGTGGGAGAGGTACACACAAAAAAGGAAGGAAGGCAGGAATGGAGGGAGAGTGAGAGGAAAAAAGAGAGAGTCAAAGCTAGAGAAAGAGGGAGAAAGAAAGAGAAAGAAGGAAAGAGAAAGAAAGGAAATAAAGAAATAAAGAAAAAGAAAAAAGGAAGAAAAAGAAAGTGGGAGAGAGATGAAGAAAAGAAAGAAAGAAAGAAAAAGGGAAAGACAGACAAAAGGAAGGAAGGAGGGAAAGAAAGAAAGAAGGAAAGAAAGAAAGAAAGAAAGAAAGAAAGAAAGAAAGAAAGAAAGAAAGAAAAAGAAAGAGAACTTATGACCACAACTGAGCCCAAAAATTTGGTTGCTAAGCAAGAGTTAAGTTAAGTGAGTTTCACATTTTCCAAGTTGGCCAAAGGACCACCAAGCCATGCTCACCCAGTCACATGACTGCCAAGCCACTCTCACAAAAGGGCCACACTTACAGATTAGGTTCTAAAAATTTTTGAAACCCACCACTGTGGTGTACTATGCGTTAACTACCTAAACCATATTGCATGTGGGTTTTTAAAACTGATGAAACTGAAGAAAATGCAATTGTTTTTAGCCTGGGTTTGAATCTCATTTGTGTTGTGCCGATGTGCGTATATGTACAATCTTTTATAGGTCAGGACTATGGAAATACTGGCACTGCTACGATATCCTTAACCTTGGCTCAGACAACCTTGACATGGATGCTAGAGAGTCATTTGCCAGAACAAGTTTGTGCATTTATCTGGTATGGTTTGTTGAATGTTGACTTGCCATGAACCTTTCTCCCCATTCACAGCTTGGCATAAAGAAAAAGAAGTTCATGCCATACAATCACCAGCACAAATACTTCTTTCTCCGTGAGTAACACTTTTTTTCTGAAATATTCATATTCTTATTAAGGGCACATAGGATACTAAAACCTCCCAGAGATTTTTATGTGTAGTGTGGTTTTGCTGCCATTGGTTGGAAGGAAGAGTGAAACCCTATTTATCTGAGAAATATGGGGCAGGGGTGGGTTGCTGCCGGCATTATTGGTGGTTCGGCGCGCACACAATTTTATTGCTCCATGCGCATGCACAGTTACCTATAAATAGATCTGCACATGCGTAGAACGTTTTAAAAAAACAACATCCCACGCCGACCAGAGAGCCGGTTTGGAGCGTAGCAGGCATGGGTTGCTGCCAGTTCTGGTGACCCAGGCCAGGATACCACTACCGGTTCGGCTGAACCAGTCTGACCCGGTAGGAACTCACCTCTGATATGGGGATAACTTTTTCCTGTAAAACATGTCATCTAGTTATATTCCTGTCAAGTATCATTAGAAGGAGACCTCTTTTGCAGCCTGTGTGCAATATTACTATAGCTGTTTCATGTCACCCTATTATAATCTCAAATGTCTCTACCCATCAAATTATATTTAATACTCCATGGCAAACAGCACTATACCTGACAAATGAAGCTTTGTATCCCTGGGTTAACACAGACCTGGTCCACCTGCTCAATACTATCTGAATCCCCTTTAAATAATTGAAAATAGTGTGGATGTAGATCAGTGGTGGGTTCCGGATCCTGTTCCAACCAGTACGGTTGGAACGGGCCTGGCGATGTACACATGGATGTGCACCGTGTTAGGTAAGCTCCCTGTTGGGAGAGCAAGTGCGTTCAGAGAAGCATTGTGAGAGTTGTGTTGGAGAACACACAAACCAGCATACAGAGACACTATTTTCAATTATTTAAAGGGGATTCAGATAGTATTGAGCAGGTGGACCAGGTCTGTGTTAACCCAGGGATACAAAGCTTCATTTGTCAGGTATAGTGCTGTTTGCCATGGAGTATTAAATATAATTTGATGGGTAGAGACATTTGAGATTA